GTCTTACTGTTTATATTAGTTATTGGGATGCCTCTGCTTCAATGTTTAACACCTCTCATCTAAATGTACCAGGTATTCCAATATGAGTATACATGTCACATCAAACTGTTTAAAAACTGATGATGATCATGGCTTGTGGGCTGTTCATTATCTCAGGTAGCATCATATGCAAATGAGGCTTTTTGTTTTCCAGGCTGAAGCACTCTCTATGAACTTTCACAAACCTGCATTTTCTTCTCTCCACTAAAACCTCTGTTATCTCCCTGACACTGCTCCTGATAATGGAAAAGATTTCTGCTTATTAGGATAATCTTCAATCCCCAGCTCATCTGCTTCCATGTGAGAATTGTTTAAAAACGATTTTGCCCTGGGTAATACATTTTAAGCTCCCCAATGACTTTTCCCATCCCACTTCTTCACTAGTAGTTTATTTTTCTGATACATACAGATATTGATTACATAATTTTTTTGCATCAAAACACCTATCTAGTTGGGTGGGAGGATGGGTGGCTAAAACCTTTAAAGTAATGACCAGATAAAATACCTTCATGGGAGATACTTAGGTTTTCTTCCTATATCATATATTTTCAAGTTCAACCACCAAGCAGCAAACAGTCTAAAATAGCCTTCCCTAAAACATGAATATTCCTTTAAAAAATAATCTATTCATGAAAAAAATTGGGTCTGAAAAATAGTCGTCTTCTTTAACACTGAGTTATAGATAATTACAATGTTTCAACCCTCCAAGGAGTCTCAAGCCTTTAATTCATATGCTTGGCATATCATGTCTTTATAATGACATTCAGAGACACTAGGTTCAGCACTTTTTCCCTTTTCTTCGTCATTCATTACACTCCAAACATTTGTGTCCTACAATATATGTAGGGCAGCTGGCTTTATACCTATTCTTAGCTCTATAAAGTCAGCTATAACTATTCTATAGCTATTGCTGTTTTACTTTTTAAATATTTCATCACTTTCTTTGCTAGCTAAAATTTTACCACAAGGATGGCTCAAGATTAAAAAAAAATGATATGGAAAATACATATGGAATGAATTGTTACAATTTTCTAATTCAAAAGAGCAACGTGAAATATATGAATGACCTTCATTTCTCAATTTTTCTTTCCCTAAGGGAATCTCTAAAAATTAAAATATGTTCACTGGTTTAAGAATTCAGATTTCCTCATAAATTTATCTCAGGCATTATCATAATAGGTTATTTTTATTTTTAAAAATGGCCTTTCTCTAAGAAGTAAGATTGTATTCCTCTCTTTGTCAATTTCATGTTCTTTGCCTCAATGTATTGAACAAACAGGGCATTGATCGTGAATCAGTTCACACATTTAAGCTCTATCATTCAAGAATTTAAGCAATCTGAAGAAAACAAGGAATTAATGTGATACACAAGTTGTTCCTGCTGCTGTTTGTGTTCTTACTGCAGGTAGTGTTGTGTGGCTGCTAGGGTAGCAGTGTGTGTATTATTGATATGCACGGTATTCTTGTTTGACCACAGTCTTTCCAGTATGAGTAGATAGTGCCTGTAGATTGACAGCTGATGCTAGCAAAGGGAGGCACTAGGTTTACAGGAGGAAAGATTAGAAATAAATAATTCTCAACAAGAAAGCAGTTAGTTCTATTTGTGTGGCTCTGAATACTTGTCAGCCTAAACATACCACTTGAAGATTTTTTTTTTTTTTTTGAGAACTTTACCCTGGGAAGCTTTAAGGATAAAAATGTACCATATGTGTTACAGTATTGTGAAAATAATGGAAGTAAAATCTTATTGCTCAGAAAGGGAATAAGAAATTTAGCAAACAGTGAAGCATTTCAGAAAAATTAGTTTGAAGATTCTAATCAAAAGCAATACCTGAAATCTTGATGATAACCTATTAACAATAATCATTTTTATAAGTTAAAATCAAGTGAACTTTTAATGTAAAACAGTTTGGAGAAAGGAAGACCTATTTATTAACTGAAAAATTGTATGGAAATCTGGAATAAGTAGTAAGTTGAATATAAATGAATATAGCAAATAAAAAAAGGCTAGTGTTTCAAATATCTCTAAGGAGAGAAAGAAGTCAAAATGATTGATCCAAAAGTTACAAACAGAGATAGTAAGCACAGAATGAAATGGTACTTGGGAAAATCCAAGAGGTTTTGCTTATGGCAAAACAAATGAAATACTGATCATCAAGTGGTAGAACAAGCAGAAGATGAAGAAATAACAGAAGATCTAAGAGGACCAACCCTCCAAAAATCAGTTGAGAGTTTAAAAGGTAAGACAGAAATAAAAATATTGTTATCAATGAAAGTGACTCATAAATTCTTACCTAAACCTACTATGTTTTCTTTTATATTACAGATAAATATATATATATATATACACACACATATATATATGCACATATATATATGTATAAAATATAAAATGGTAAGTATTCACTCAATATATCATTGAAACAGTATCAGTGAAATTGTTTTGAAGATAAATCTAAGAATATTATGAGGTTTGGCTTATTGAACAGGATAAGTCACAGCAGAAAGTTTTTGTGGCAGGGGGAAGATAACTTGAGCCCAGGAATTGAAGACTAGCCTGGGCTACATGGAAAAACCCTGTGTCTACAAAATTTTCCCCAAAATTAGCCAGGCATGGTGGCACATACTTGTAGTCCCAGCTACTCAGGAGGCTAAGGAGGGAGGTCACTGGAGTCCAGGAGACAAATGTTGCAGTGAGCTGTGATAATGACACTGCCCTCCTGCCTGGGTGACAGTGTGAGACCTTGTCAAAAAAAAAACGGTGGGAGGGAAGGAAGGAAGAAAAAAGAGAAGAGAAGAGAAGAGAAGAGAAGAAAAGAAATAAAAAGAAAAGAAAAGAAAGAAAAGAAAATTTTTACAACTACCATCCAGGAAAGAGCTGAGATGGAATGACCGAGTGATTAGATAAAAGAGAAGTGAGAAGAGGGAGCCTTTTCTTAATGTCTCGTATAGAATAGAAAGTAGTCAGATTTGGTAAGAGATCCAATTTTGGCAAAGGACCAATGATGCTGAGAAATGACCATACTAATTCATGCAGAGAGAACAGAGCCTATTCCTATTTTATCCACAAGATAGGTTTCATAATTTAGAGGAGGAAATGTCTGTCAAATGTTTACAACTCTTAATATTTATGATATGTGTAAATTTTTAACAGTTTTATAATACATATTACCTATAGTTAAATGTACAACATACGCATACACATGCACACCTTCAAACACACACACAACTACCATGAAATGATTAACAACATATAAGTCAAGTCAGATGATTCAGGTATAGGTAAAGTTAACATTAGGCAAAATTCTGCAACGTGGATGATCCTTGAGGATGTTAAGTGAAATAAGCCAGTTACTAAATGACAAATAATGTATGATTCCACTTATATGAGACATTTAAAGTATGAAATTCATAGAGACAGAATGTAGAATAATGGTTGCCAGGGGCTGGATGTGGGGAGGGAGAGACGGGAAGTTGTTTTTCAATGGGTACAGTTTCCGTTTTGCAAGACGAAAAGGTTCGGGAGATCTGTCTTGTGAAAATGTGAATATACTTAACACTACTGAACAATACACTTAAAAATGGTTAAAATGGCAAATTTTATTTACTTATTTTTTTCTTAAGATGGACAGAGTCTCGCTCCGTAACTAGCCTGGAGCGCAGTTGTGTGACTTTGGTTCACTGCAACCTCGGTCTCCCAGGTTCAAGAGATTCTCCTGCCTCAGCCTCCCAGCTAAATACAAAAATTAGCCACATGCCACCACTCTCGGCTAATTTTTGTATTTTTAGTAGAGACAGGGTTTCACCATGTTGGCCAGGATGGTCTCAATCTCTTGACCTGTGATCCACCCACCTCTGCCTCCCAAAGTGCTGGGATTACAGGCATAAGCCACCGCGCCTGGTCTAAAACGGTAAATTTTATGTCATGTTTTTGTTTATTTGTTTTATTTTTTTAAACACCGTTTAAGAAATAGAAAAAAATTGTGAAATTAGTAAAAAAATCTTAGCTATGTCTTCTCTTTCAACAACCTCTTTTGTCCATTGTAATAAGCATGCTAGATTTCCAACATTCTTATTCTTTGCCACAGTCTTTTTGGTTCAATCCAATCTCCCTCTCCCTCTCTGGAGAGTGCCCTGAAATAAATCTCTGCAAAACCTATTCACCTTGAGTGCATTTCTCTTGTAAACTGATGATCCACTCCTATGCATAAGCTATATTTCCTAAAATATTCCTAAGATATTTTTCTATACTATTTATCCTAAGATACGTATGTTGCCCTTTTATTGAATAAGCCTGTCACAAAGGACCCTTGTCAAAGAAAATACTTATTCAGCGCAAAATAACTCATGTTAATAGACAACATACAGCAAAGAAGAGCCTGTGTGTGTGTGTGTGTGTGTGTGTGTGTGTGTGTGTGAGAGAGAGAGAGAGAGAGAGAGAGAGAGAGGGAGAAGGAGAGAGAGAGAGATGGTGGGGTTGAGGAAGAATGGCCACTTTATTTGGAGAATAGGTTTAAGTTAGCCTATTTCTGAAAGGATTAGGAGTTGAAGGTGTGCTTGCCATATATGAGTTTACTTTCTAAATGTGCCTGTGTGTGCCTGTGTCATGTCCCTGGTTGGCAACAGAGAAGCTACATTGTTAATAATTTGAAGTTAAGATAAAATAATTTAACTGGAATGTCAGAACGTCATTCAAATCAAGGAGATAATTATCAAGACATTTTAAGAGAAACATTGTCCATTATAATATTTAGAACAAATAACTTAAAAAAAATTTTTTTTTTGAGATACAGGCGCCTCACTCTGTCATAGCTCACTGCAGCCTAGAACTCCTGGGCCGGGAATCCTCCCAACTCAGTAGCTGGGACTACAGGTGCACTTTTTTTTTTTTTTTTTTTAGAGATCAGAGTCTCACTCTTTTGCTCAGACTGGTCTCGAACTCCTGGTATCAAGGCATACTCCTGCTTCAGTCTCCCAAGTAGCTAGGATTACAGATGTTAACCACATGCCTGGCTAGAAGAAATAACTTTAAAATGGGCTTTGATGCAACATAAACTGCATCTTAGGAAATAATCAGATCCTAAAAGTAGAATAGTCTGGTTAAATCTGTAAACCTTTTCAATCCACTTCTTTTTTCTTTTCTTTTAAATGAAATGTTGGACATGAATAGAAATGCTTGACAGATATTTTTAATTTTCCAAGATCCCTTGTTTTCATAGTGCAAAGATATATAAATTATGCAGGATAAAATATAAAAAGCCTTTAAAACCAATACTTGTTAACCACTTTGGATAGATTCTTAACATCAACTCTAGTCTTACTGAGATATTCATTTTTTTTCCTTTCAGTACTACTTAGCTTTTTTTTTATTTTATAGAAATATGGAGGGATTATGAAAATAAAATGAAAGGCTGGACTCTATTAGATTAGAGATAGCTTTGGTCCAGCCCAAGCTGTGCCTTGAAATAAATCTAAGGTATTTTACGGTTAAAACAGCAAGAAAGCAGTTTAATTTCCCATTAAATCACAGTTTAATGCACCCTAGAACAAATGAAATGATTGAACATTTTGGATACATGATGATGTTTATATTCATAGTCCACAAATACCATGCGCAGATGCCACTGACAAATTCCAAATATGCATTAAGGAGAGAAAGCGAGAGGAAATGCTCATGTATGACACCTGCAGGTAAAACTTACTCATTTGCAAAGACGGAATGTAAACACACTTATTCTGCAACATACACCTACAAAATGTTTGCATATTGGAACAAAGTAAGGAGAAAGGTATAACTAGCAACAAATATGCAAAGAACTAGGACTGTAAAGCAAAGAAAATACTTGATTATTTTTTGTCTTATCATCAAATGTATATATGTGTCATCTCTCCCCTTTCCCTATATCTACCAGATGTATAAAGAGTGAATAACTTAAATTATTCATATCAACAGTCAACCATGTAGGACAATTAACAATAAATACCAAGGTACAGCATCATAGAGTTGAAAACTCAGTTGCTTTGGGAACGGACATGGCATTATGTTGTAGATGTGCTACTTTCTATTAATAGAACTCCTATTTCTTTTTTTAAAGAGGAATAATGCTTAAAGAATTGTTATGATGAAAACATTAAATAGCAACTAGAACCAACTATATATCAACTAGAGACTGACTGGTGTACATTATTTTCTCAATAAATATCAATATCCTTTTCTTCAATTAGATTATTCTATGAATAATATGCAAAATTCCTCCCCTTTTGAGACAATACACACTAAAATGCTGACACATTTTTCTCCTCTCAGGGTAATTTATTTCTGAAAACCTATGAGAAATTACTGGAATTTAAAAACATAATTACCTTTGAGATTAATGGTACGTAATTACTTCAATAGTTAACAAAACACGTGTGAAATACTTAATGCTCATGTTATTAAAATGTATTAACAAAACAAGAAAAAACAGTGAAGAAGAAATAAAATACAATGCAAGTAATGCACTTACATTGCTATTATAAACTAGCCAATAAATAGTATTTGGTAAGAAAATTTAAATCACAATATACATGTATACACCAAGTTTACTTTTCTTTCTCTATACTTGGTTGTTTACAAGATGTATAAAACCCAGATTGGTCTTCTAAATGCTAATGCCCTGTTAAATCAAAATAGGTATATGAAATTAAACTCTTTTTTCAAGTTGGACTTATCTTGGAGCTTTACCACATAAGTATTTGCTAACTCTTTTTCTTAATATATTTTTCTTTGTTTATGGAGAACCAAAAATATAAGTTATCTTGAGATGTACATTCTTGTCCAAGCACTGCAAGATGTCCACAATATCCCAAGGAACACAGTTGTCACAATTTGCCTTCATTAACCCTTGACTTAGGACTGGCAAGTTTTTATTATCCCCCCAAGGAAGAGTGGAAAGTGACACGGAAGGCAATTATAATAATGAGTATCATACATAAGAGAAAGTTACTTACTTAACTGTATTCAGTGTTTCTTTGGCTCTTGAAACAATCTGATAATTATTGATGGTAATAAGCAACTTGTTAACTGTATAACTATGCTCACTATTTATAATAAGGTAAGAGTATGTTGGCTTCTAGGCAGAGGTTCTTGAAGGCTCTTCTTCATATTTTTTTTTTAATGAGCATACCACAGCCTAGAAAACATAATAGTGGCCTAAAATCACAGAAGCTACTTAGAGATGGGACTGAAACTATGACTTTGTTCTTTTGCCCTGTTTACTGCAATGACTAAGTCACTAAATTAATTGAATGAGGAACAGAGTACCATATGAAAGTCGCTCAAGCTAATGTGTACCATAATGTTAACAACTAGCAAACATTTACAGGGATTGTTTTACCCTCTCTCCAGCAGCAAGCTAACTAAATAAGAATATTACACATTTGATACAAGCTCCCTCCACGGGTTTCAGTTTCTTTATCTAAAAATTGGCTCTCCAGATTTGTTTCAAGATAATGTGACACTAGCACTGTGCCTGCCAGTGCTTGTGTAGTTGTGTATTCTGAGCTGTGTATTATGCCACAGTAGTTGTGTATTTTGAGCTAGCTCTTCTCATTCCCCGTCTACATTATAGGTATGAAATCAGAACCCAGTAAATGAATGGATTTTTATTATTTAAGATGCTGTTGTAAAATATGTAGATAATCAGATGTTACTCCAATAATTATGTGGTTACTTTTCTGGAAGTAGAAATAAATTTTATCTGTTATATGCCATTTAGGAGGATAAATGGGGGCCAAGAAAAACAATAAGATAACAGGTCCATATGGAGAATTTAATCTGCAACCTTGATCATACCAGAAAAATGTTGTAATATATTTAGCCATGGGACACAAGAAGACATGTTAAAAACATTCCCTGACTTTATTTTAAAGGATGATTTTGAAGCTGGGTATATATTAAATGAACTTGGACATCTTCATTACCCAATAACTGTATTTTTATTCTAGTTGTTTAATTTTGTAAGTGAAACTCTCTTGCAATATTGAATGATGAGTTAGGATGAACAAAAACAACATGACAGCTAAAGTGCAACCTTTTAAACCTCCTTTGGGAAAAAAAAGATGACTTGTGGATGAAAATCTTTCTAAGTCAGTTATTTACTCTGCTTGTTTTCTTAAAACTGATCAAACTATGGAACTTAAAATAACACTTCCGTGATGACCTACGACCATCATCAGGAGTACTAATTGTAGTACCATAGCAACTTCAGTGATTACAGAAGTTTGTAGATCTGTTTACCTTTATTAAATAGCTTAGTTCCTGTGATTTTTGAGTTTCTTTGTACGCTTTTTACAGATTTTCTTCCATTTTCTTGCTGACACATTTAACTGCTATCATTGTGCAAGTCTTCGCAGCTGCTTCCCCTTCTTAATTTGCTGCTTCCTTACAGGCAGTGGGTTTGGTAACCAAATAACAAACTTGTTAAAATTGTCAGTAAAATAAGATTTTGTCAGGTCTAAGAGAACACTCATAAGAGAAAAATGCATTTGCTTAGTTGCATGGGCTCTGTGGTTGCAACTTTGATTCTGCCTCGAGTTTTGTTGTTTAAATCCTGCTTCTCAGCTCTGTCAAGAGTGATGAGGTTGTCATAGGGCTAAATCCTGGGAGGTAGGATATTGCCGTTTATTGAGTAGACAAACTACCATATCTACTTTGGGTATGTTATGGAAACAAATTAGGTCATGTCTGCAAGAGTTAGGGTGCACATCTGGAGAAACGCAATAAGGTTATTCAAAGTTAAACAATATTATTCAAATAAATAATATTCTTTGAAATTTAAGAAGTCACTAAATTGCACAAGTTCTTGGACTTGAAAGGTATTGCCGTTTTTCATGTTATCCTGACCTCATCAAAATGTCTGTTTTGAAATGTAATAGCTTATTCATCACGACCTATCCTGTTTGGAAACGCAGAAAAAACATGGTTATTTTTACTTGATTCCATCCAGGCAGGAAAGTACCCTACCACTTCACAGCCTAAAACAAACAATTATTGGTGATGGTCTCATTATAAATTGCTTTTCACTGGCATAATGAGTCCTTTTTTCTTTTTTAAAAAGAGACTTAGATAACATGAAACATATGAACCAAATTGTGTTTGCCTGACATAAGCTGAATTTAAAACTCTTGCTGAGATTACCACACTTTTAATACTTTCACCTATTCCTTTGTGACACAAAGGCTGAATTTTAAAAACTTTTGTACAGCAAAAGCAATTTATACATATAAAAATACTTGGAGTGCCCTAGGGGTTGTCATTGTAGCAGAGAGACGGAAGAGAGTTTGATTTTAAGTTTAGGCTTCAAACATTTATGGCCTAAATGGGGATGTCATTCTGAATTAAGCCTCGAACAGTTTTTTTTTATAGGCAAGCAAGGGTATCATTTCTAAGATGAGCTATAAAAGAGTGAAACAAGGCCCCAGTTCCTTGCACTCATCAGAAAGCTTTTTCTCCCCAAAAGTGCAGGGATTAAACTGACAATCTCTGTCTCCTCCCAATTTGGGCACTTGTCTTCCTCTTCCACGAATCCCCTAACAGTTTCAATCAGAGGAGATATTTCATATTTCCCTCCTGCTGCTACCAGATATGCCGGGCTGCTGATGTAAAATCATTGCCACATGACAGTGACTGCTCGTGTCCCAACTCATCAGTCAAGGACACCAACCCAGCCTTACAGAAGGCCTTTCCTTTGCTCATGTGTCTCTTGTCTCTCCCTTCACAGCCTGTCCTGACACAAACATATCTTTTTAAAAGGTCTTTGACAGTTTTTTCTCTTTCCTTACCTCCTTGGTTGTGTTTGAAGCCCGAGCCATGGTAAATAGCCTATGGCTTGACTCATCTCTTTCTACCTCTGCCCTCCTAACTGTAATTACGAGATAATTTAGCGGTGATGCTCTGAAGCCAAGGCGATTGGTGAATTAACCTGAGGCAGCTCTAAGAAGTACTCTGTAGTATCTGCTGATGCACTTTGTCCATTTTTGCTTCCCTCTCTCATACTTCCTAATTACTTCAAAGCTTCATATAGCTTCCTGCATTCCCCATGTCTCTAAAAACAGCGTTCTACCCAGGCTTCTCTCATTAGGAAAGATCCAAACGCCTTAAAATATCTCCATCTATCAAAGACTTGGTTTTAGTTCCGGGTTGTTTTTTGTTTTTTCAGGCCTCTGATCTGGACCAAGTGCTGACCAGGCCACAAGAAAAAACAAATCAGTTAAAATGTTAAAAGAGCAAATATGTGTTTGTGTCCCCTCTCCCAGGTGATACAGTTGTGCTTATAGCAGAGGCCAACGAGAAACATATTTTAATGGAAGCTTTGCTCAGGGAGAAAACTGTAAGGTCACTGAAGACAATTGCAGATGGAGGTGTGTTTGTATGTGTTCATACGTGCTTATGAACGGGGTAGTTGATATGAAACAATTTGGGGAGACAGACCTAAATTTAGCTCTCAATTTATACCACACAAATGTCTATAGGCTTTAATTGTAAATGTGGACCATGATTTTATATGAATGATTAAGCCCATAAAAATGACTATATAGTTTATATTTTCCTTCTGGGAATTTTTCTATAGGAACATTTGGGACACAGTCACCAGCTGTTATTTAGCCAGCTCTACACCAGTCCCAGTGTTGACAGGGAAAAAAGGTGTTTGAATTTAAATACATGGTCCAAAATCTTCTAGTGACCCAATTGTTTAGAACCTACGTAGGCTTATGAAAATTCTGACTGGTAAATCACATGACCTGGAATTCCATCCCTCAGTAATAATTCAGTCACAACTTTCTCAACTTTCTCCGGAAAGACTTCTTTGATGCCCCACTACTCCCCTCAACCCCACACCCTGATCCTCTGCAACAACATTGAATGTGTTGCTTTCTCTTTCTCCCAACCACTCATTCACTCACCTGTTCCATCCTTATTGTTTATGTGGCTTTCTGCATTTCACCTGCAAATTTCCCAAGGGCAGGGACTTGTCTTAGCATGTTCAGGCTGCTATAACAAAGTACTATCAACTGGAGAGCTTATAAACAACAGAAATTTATTTTTCACAGATCTGAAGACTGGGAAGTCCAAGATCAAGGTGCCAACAGATTTGATGCCTGGTAAGGACCTGCATTTTGGTTTCGTAGATGGCACTGTCTTGCTGTGTCTTCACTTGGTATAAGGGGTTAGCTCTGGGTTCTTTTATGAGGGCACTAATTCCATTCATGAAGGCTCCACCCTTATGACTTTATTATCTCCCAATGGCCCCATATTATAACGGTATCATCTTGGTGATTAGGTTTCAGTAATTGAAGTTGTGGGACATAAACATTCCGAAAATAGCCAGACTCTAATTTATCTTAAAGGATCGTCAGATACAGAATATATGAAAGCATATGTCTACATATCTTGTGATTTAGGACTTTCCTGGTGTGAATTGTGGAGAGAAGACTCATTACAAATCAGGTAAGAGATACCACACTTTTCATGGCATCTTGTGAAATTCCTTTACTCTCCCCATGGAGGCCCATTTTTGAGAATCTATTCTAGGTTTCACTCACATAATTAGCAACTGTTGTTATAAACAGAAAGAATGTTTGGTACTCTGTAGCACATTCAAACATTGAAGGAAATACTTTTTAATTAAAACAACTTGTCTGGTGGGCAAGGTCATTTTATTTTCAAAATGTATAGGAAAACCCTTTAACTCCTAGTAATACAGTCTCCCTTATTCCTATAAATGGAAAGTTAGTAGTATGTAGAAATGTTACAACATCAATTCAGGGCAAGTTTTCTGAAGTTAACTTCTGCCAAAATTTGGGAAATAAGAAAATTTGGCTGTTGTACAAACAAATTTCTAGAGAAGAGACAACATAACAGGACTAGATAATGATGATTCTGTAAATGGATAATTAGGGATTACAGAGGATGAAGAATTTTTACATTCCAGCGAAGGCATGAACCTGTAACGGCTTTTACAAAAACAAACAAACAAAGCATAGAAGAAACCTGGCCCCATGGAAGATAAACAGCTTCAGTGTATTCCTACCAGGAAAACATTTTGTTTCATTGTTCGAAAGTACCCCCCTGACATATATATACGAATGAGTGACACTCTTTAGTTGTTGTTAGCAAGAAATGTGTTTATTCTTCTAGTTTTTATATGTGTCACAAGTGAGATATACTGAATACTTTTTCTTAAGAAATATTTTTGATTTTCTTAAATGTGGAAATTGAAGAAAACAGTCACTTGGTGAGAGCAGCAGGAGGTAGCCAAATGCCTAGGCAGACAACGATGTGTCCCCAGTGAAACCCCACCTCCAAGCTGATGACTTCAAAGCCTGTCATCAGCTGTTATTAGCCTAAAAGCCAAGCTACAAGTTAAATCCTTGACCCAAATTGACAACTCATCTTCCTGTTTAGCACACTTTCCACTGATTGATTCCTATCCTTCACCTATTTTATATTTATCTACCCTTTCCTAATTTCTACACGGTCGTCCCTACCTTTGAGTGATGTCTTCGATTTAACCCTTTTTGTATAAACCAATCAGCATGCACTCCCATTCTGAGTCCATAAGAGGATGCAGACTTAGCCAGATGGGGGACTTTCCAGCCATTGAGTAGGGGACCCTCTGCCCCATTTGCCTTCTTTGCTGAGAGCTTTCCTTTTGCTTAATAAATTCTACTCAACTCACTCTTTGGTGTGTATGCACCTAATTCATCCTGGTGTTAAGAAAAGAACACAGACCTAGCTGAGCTAAGGAGCAGAAAGACCACAACACTGGGAAAACAAAAGGTGAAAGCAGTAAGAATAGGCCCTAATAATTCCACAGAGACAGCAATCTGGTTGGTAAATCAAAAGAACTGAGCAAAATATTTAGAATACAAACGTTTTTGTAGATACAGAATTGAAGTGTCCAGAGTGTTTCAAAGTGTTTAGCGCTGTAATCTAAAACTAAGAGTGCTGGAAAGAAGAGGAATTTCACTTTTCTCCTGTGTGACTAAGCAACACAGAGAAATCAGATGAATCTGAGTTAGAAACAGCCAATTTAAATAATGCAAATATAAAGTGATAATTGGGAGAGAGAGGTGGTTATTAATTTATCAAAATTGTTACTTGGTTGACCACATTGATCCGATAGCCAGTCAATTAAATTTCTTCCTTTAGATATTTAAATAAACTTTGGGAGGCCGAGACGGGTGGATCACAAGGTCAAGAGATCGAGACCATCCTGGTCAACATGGTGAAACCCCGTCTCTACTAAAACTACAAAAAATTAGCTGGGCATGGTGGCGCGTGCCTGTAATCCCAGCTACTCAGGAGGCTGAGACCGGAGAATTGCCTGAACCCAGGAGGCAGAGGTTGAGGTGAGCCGAGATCACGCCATTGCAGTCCAGCCTGGGTAACAAGAGCGAAACTCCGTCTGAAAAAAAAAAAAAAAAAAAAAAAAATCCTCATTTTAATTGGATATAAGCCAAAAAGAAAAAGAAGATAAATTTTTGAATATTTAGATTGTTTATGATGTTGATATATAGGCCACATACAATCTTAAGTATGAACAAAGATAAAAGTATGCCATCTTCTTGTCAAGATTATTTCAGGCTTTAAACATTCTGTAATTTCTAGGGTTTTCATAAATTATAGAAGTTTATGAGCTACAGGAGAACTTCTTTTTAACTTGTAACAATGCCCTATGCATTAAAAATTGTTAGATGCTTTGTGTCCCCTTTTTATATAAAGTATTTTAAAAATCTTGATTCATGAAAGATGGAATAGTACAAACAAAATATTTAAGCAAAATATGGAAAACTGAAAAAAAAAACATATTTACCTATTAATTTGATTACATTTTACATAGTGCAGGATTACAAATATTAATTTTTAAATTAGAAGATAAAATATAAGAGTGCATTCGTAAGGCTAAATGTTGCTTTGTGAAGCTTTTCTTTCAGGTAACCAGAGTCTAGGGAAAATATAGAAATGTATTTATTGGGTTATGATGTGAAATGTATTTCTTGCTGAGAGTCACAATCAAAGAGTCAATTTAATTGTGTTACAATGTAACATACTCTCAAGATACTGGTTTCTAGGCTTGTTGTACATAAAATTCTATAATGAGCTGGGAAAATAACCCAATCAGCCTCTTATATTGGACATTTGTAAACAATGAGACAACACCTTATCAGCTTTTTTATTGAAGTGTTAACAGCCTTTGGCAGAAAAAAGATACTATACTAAGCAGAAAAATGTGACAGAGCTTTGAAGTGTGGAATTTATTCCGTTACACATATACTACCATTCTTTTATGTAATGTTTTGACAAATTAAAAAAAAAATTAGAAAAATTCTGCAGATAATATGACTCACACCTATCATCATTTTCTCCAAGCATCTGCTACTTAAAAGCCATATAGGTAAACAGAAGTCACAAGTTCCCATTATTATAAGCATTGAAGGAGCTTCAAATCTATGAAAATATTGTTTAAATGCCCTACATACATTAGAAACTCATGTCAGAAGAATATCCAGTGTTGTATGATGTGCTCTACCATACTTGAAAATTTAGTCACTGAAAGTTAATTGAAATTTATCTGCATCCATTTCAAAGATGCATTATTTAGAGCAATGAATGATAAATTGTAATTCAGATGTTGAATCCAACTATGGAGGATCTATAGTTATTGAAATAGATCTAAAACACACACACAGACACACTGTATATAGCATTATAACATTTACAGGGCTATATTAATTATTTATATGTGAACATTGATATTTGGATACCAATGGATAGAGCGAACCATGGCAAACCTTTTGTTTATATTTTCTAAATTTAGATATCACCCTAGCTACTCCAATCCTTATCCTGGATATACATCTTTGACTCAATTTTATTATAACACAATGCAAAAGATATTACAAATTATTAATATAATTAAGAATGACAAAAGATGTTTGGAGCTGAATGACAGCATCCAAAATTGAGTTTTTGAAATAAATTACTTGATAAAAAAATCAGAACTTATGAATGATATGGGAAAATACTGCTTCTTCTAAGTTAGTGTGAAATAGCTTTTTGTTTTGAAAGCCCAAGAAAACTTATCTGTTCAAAAGTCAAATGATGAGAGAAATTTGGACAGATGAATAGATGTATGCAGGTATGCATTAATAGTAGCCTTCTTTTTTTATTAGGTAATACACATAATTAATAATAATAATGACAGAATACATTCCTAAAGCACATTGAAGATAAGCACAAATGCACTATTGATCTAAAGTAATTGTGATGAACTTAATCACATTCTGGATTTAAAAGGCTTGCTAACAAATTTCATCACTTGAAAAGGATTCTAAACCCTTTTGGAGAATTTCAACTTCGAGTCCAGTGCAAAGAACAGAAAATTAAATGGAATGTGTTAAACTAAGATACAGTATATAGGCATAAAAAAGGCAGGAGAAATACCAAATGTGATGCTCATAATAAGGCAACAGGAATGTGCTGTATGCCATTAAAAAATAAACATTTGAAACATTACTTAATCCATGTTTTAAATGAATCCTAGGTAAAGGAGAAAATTTTATGACGAATGATTATTTTATGAACATTACCAAGATATAGTAGTTACTATCCATGTATATATACAGACATATGATGTGTAAAAAATCTATAAATGTCTGTATATATATGCACACACATACATAAGTTCTGACACTATTTACACACAGACACATTCATACAATAATTGTCCAGCTGACTTAAAGTGATTCTGTCACAGATTTTTTTCCTACTGTCCATTTCAGCCATCAGTTTGAAGCAAAATTCACACACAATGATATTTCTTGGGTCCTCCCTCTACTTTCTTGTTTCCAATATCACTCTCCCAATTCCAGCTTTCTTTAGCTCCATCCTGATCTAGCTCAATCTACTTCTGTCTCAAGTTTTCCTCTTCCCTACTCCCTATGAGAACTTAGACAATTAGTACATAGATTTGAGCCGTAACTACTAAGGCATTCTCTTCACAAGACCCTTCAGTGGCCTTTCCAGTTAAGTACAACCCCTTCTCGCTAATAACATGTTCAACTTGCCCTTCACCTTCACCTCATAATGGTCAACTCGTATTCTAAACTTCCATCAGTATGGAATGTTTACAATTCATTTAAACATTCATTTTAAATTTATTGCAAGTTGTGCGCTTTTGCAAGTTTTGTGCTTTTGTCCAGAATGCATGTTTTTATATTGGAAGGTCCTCAGTTTGTCAAAATCAACTCTGTTTTTAAAATCTCAAATACAATTTGCTGTATGAAGTTCTTTCTGAGTCCTTTATTGAAAAATTAGCTTTTTTAAAATCTAAAACCCACAGCCTCTTATTTTTACTTCTCTTAAGGTACTGATATAATTTTTTAGTACAGAGGAGATTCAACATACAATATATTTAAATGATGAATGTTCACTTAAATATATCAGACATTAACAACAGGAATGAGGATTTTGTGGCTTTTTTCCATTCAATTTATATTTTGTGTGTCTTGTATTTTTGTTTCATTTCAGGGTTAAAAGACTCTGTAAACAAGCCAACAACCTCATCTGGGATTCAAGCAAAGGAACAGTATTATGCCCAAAAGAAAATGGACTGCACTGAACTTGCTAAGAGATAATCTAACACACACAAAGCCATGTATACAGAAACTTACAAGAAATTTACAAAATTTTAAAAGATACTTTTTATGATACATAGTTTTTACATTAATCACTAATTTTGGAAACTAACTCTGGGTAAGGGTTTCTTTTATACTTTAATGGGCAGTATAATCATAAAGGTAGACTATGAATATTTTTCATCCTGAATGCCACAGTGTCTTTAGTAGCACCTGTGGACATAGTTGGCACTTATCTAACTTTGTTACTTGAAATAACAAGCAGTCAGACTGTCTAAAAAGCTATAAAACCAAACAGCAAAGTGGAAAACAACCATAGAAATCAAATAACTTATTAATTTTTTAAAAAGTAAAAATGGCTTGATTATTTTAGGGCTTGATTACAAAAATTATAGGTCTTTGAAAAGCTCATGTAGTTTAAAGAGCTCTTCACCTCTTCTTTATCTTCTAAATGGAAAATTCCTTAAGGACAGAAATGATATTATATATTTTGGTATCCATTGAATACAATTCAGCATTTGGTACGTTTTCCATCTAATCTTTCAAAGAATAACTTAGCACTATGGTATGCTTTCAAAAAACAATCTCAACAGTTGAGATTTTAGTAGAAAATTGCAGAAATAATTGACTAATCAACTTTATTTCTTTAAACCTGAGCCTATTACCGAGGTTTGATATACATGCAAACAGTGAGTTCAATTTAAATATGGTTGATTGACAGAAATTAAGATGAAATGAGACTCTGTGTCACGTAGGAGTGTACAGAAGCCACAGAAAACTCCGTGGCACAATTCCTTCTAAGTAGCAGCCATACCACAAAGAAGGTGAAAAGCAGTGGCAAATTCAGAAGTAGAAACTCATCTAAAAACAGCTGATCAGACAACATTAAATACAATAGCCACACCAGAAATAGCCCTTCTGGCTGCAGCCTCTCAAATACAAAGGGAAGCCAAGCCTATAAAAAATGGACTTGCTTTTATTTTGCCCAATTCCCCCTCCCATTTACCTCTCCTGTCAAGTGCTCTAATTTTGGAAAGTCGCTATTTCAGATCAACTCCACGGAGGGCTGCATTTTGTCACTTTGCCATCAGCAACTCAAGCAGTCATGTCACTTTTGTTCCTAGCTACTGTGTTACTGCCAAATTGGTCTGGGAAATTGAAAAACAGCATTAGAGGTAGTGCTCGTGAAAAAAAAAATCCTATTTCTCCATTTGGCTTTTTTATTTCCCTCTTCAACTTTTTGATTATCTATTTCATTTCAGATCTATAGCTTGTTTTGCTTGAGAAAGGGATTTTCCTACTGGTTATCTTCATAAGGCAGATTTTAGGATGTCCAGATCCAAAGGCTCCTTCCTGTGTAATAAAATCTAACTCTTGGCCACTGCAGGAAGTGTAAAACTTGAACATTAAATTTTATTTAAATTGAATTATCATTTGAACCTTTAGTTTAGGGTAACCATGGTTAGAACTTACAACTATTACTATCAGAATGCTTGGATCAATTGACGTTTTTTATTACTTCATTTGAACCTCTTATTCTTCGATATGTACAATTTGATGCAGAGAAAAATGTTACACAGATATAAAGTACATAAAGGTGAACTGCATTATGTCTCCATGGCAGATCTGTGCCTCACTTAAAGAAACAACAGACTATCAAAAATACTCGAAGAGCAATTTAATTTTTTCTTGTTTTCTTAAAAACAATCAATTTATAAAATAGAGTTAACCCTCTTGAAATCTGACTTTCTGATCTCCTTTTAACACATATGCCTACACATGTCCCCACACTGTCTCTCTTCTCTCTAAGCTTTTCCTTTCCCGCCTGGGCCACTTGGATGATAATATTCTCTGCTTTGGCACACTCCCTGTTGCCTCCACACACACCCACATCTTTTACTCTATTATTGCTCCTTCATGGCAGTTTTCTCATTCAAGTGTAAATCAGTCTCCCCTTTCTGTCATCTCTAGTTTCCTACACCATTCAGTACTCTGATCAACATCACAAATAAGTGAAAGCACGTAGGTAGAAGATAGAGGTGGTGAAAAAGGTATAAATAGTGATCAGTTCCCTTTCCAACCACAATACTCCCCTCACCTCCGTTTACGTGCTTTGGTTAGAGCAGTCTTTCTTGTGCCTTCTCTATTACCTGGAGAGCTTTTTTTAAAAAATGCAATACTCAAGTCCTGCTCCAGACCAATCATGCCTGTCTCTGGAGTGGGAAACAGATGACATTTAAAAATCTTCCCAAGTGAATCCAATACACGATACACAAAGTTGAGAATCGCTGGTTGGGGACTTATTGTATCCTACAAAGCAGAGCATAATATGCTTTTTCTGAAGGATTGGGTCCTAGAGCAATGATAGAGTTAGTACTGGGAAGAGAAGGGGATGGTGAGTTGTGACTGATGATATAGGTGACTATCTGTTGGTATCAGGATTTAAAGTGAATGGGTGAACTAGAAGCTGAATTATGAATGTACTGCAAACTTAACCACCATTAGACACAGAGCTAACCCTCGTGTTTTTGACTTCCCTGAGCAGGAAAAGTCAACAGCACCTAATAGAAGAGTCTCTGCCCACAAAATAAGAAAAATTGCTTTAGTCCCTAGATTATTTTCCTCATGGATTCAGGGTGCAACTAGATGTCCCTTTACAAATGCAGAACTATCTCTGCCCGTTTTGTACCTATGCCTCCAAAATACTGAGACACAGAGGGCCAGGCAGTCACAGCAGTCCCTCTTGTATTCAGTGCTGTCACAAAGAAAGTAGTTTTCTTGGCATCTTGGTAATCCAAGATTAAGAGACAAACACACCTCTATCTATACAGGCACTTGGAGTCTATCTTCCTCCCTTAAATGAGTTCTGTAATTTAGTCTTAGTTTTATTTCCAAAGTACTGCAATATTTTCCCCATTTTCTGGCTCAACATTGATTAGATTAACAATGCTGCAAATTCAGGAAATCTTTAAGTTTAAAATAGGTCCTAAAGCTATTGTGTCTGTCTGTCAGTCTATCTATCTACCTTAATAACTGTGCATGAAATGCCTCTAGTCACATCAGATTTTTCTACAAACTGTGCTACTTCTTCTGGCAGATTGCCACTGTTGAAATCTCTCCATGCTGTACCTATAAGTACCGTATCTTGTTGATGTGCAATTATGGATTCAGCATATGAACACAGACAAATCACTTGCCACCTATAGTTCCTAGGTCAGTAAGGTATGTTGTAATACAAACAAAAATCAGGTGACTTTCAGACCACAAACAACGCTAACATTACTGCAGGCCTTCACCTTGATGTATTTTTTTACCTTTTAATACTACTTCTAGGCCATATTAATAGCTCAATCTAACCTGTATTTTAGCACTATTTCCTTCCTTCCTTCCTTCCTTCCTTCCTTCCTTCCTTCCTTCCTTCC